AAAAAAAAAAAAAAAAAGAAAAAAAAAAGACAGCTGAATTGGCGACTCCATAGACTGAAGTCTTAAAATTGACAGAGATTTCTCAACAAAAGATATCTGGTACCCGCAAAAAGAGCACTTTACTAGACTTGGTTTGTTTTGATTAGGGTCTAACAGAATAATTGTTGCTTAAGCTCATAGAATCCTTGACCAAGTGATACGAATTACCAATGAATTATTTGGTAAAAAGTAGAATATTGGATTACTTGTTTAAGAAAGTAGTCAAGAAGGCTTGACTCTCTTTTGACGAAGGATTTCAGTTGAAAATACGAACAGAATTTTTTTGACAAAGTAGCGCATGCGCAGACCAACTTCACAAGTCTTTTGTTAACGAAATACCACAAGAGAATGACTTCTGAAAGCAAAAGTGCTGCAGCCAACCACAAATGATAAATATTCCACGATGTCTGCAACTGAAAACAGCATTAGCATCGAGGAAGAGATAGAGCGAGAGATTGAGAATTTTCAAATCGATTTGTCCGACGACGAATATTGTGAAACGAAAGAAAATGATCACAGTGAAGGTATTGTAGCTGATTCAATGAATGTATCGACCAATTCTCTTCTCAGAGCAACGATTTGCGAGTTAGAGAGAGCGCTGAAAGACACAAGGAGACTGCTATTCGATAGAGATAAAGAGAATTCCTCGCTTCGACAAGAGCTGGAGAAAACGAGAAAAGATCTTCGAAAAGAACAATCGCAAAGAAAGAAATTCACCCAGGAAACTGAAGAAAAGTTCAAATCCTACGATGAAATCGAAGAAATGAATAAAAAACTGAAACAAGAAGTGTTAGATTTGAAAGAAAGACTGGAGAAAAAAGGAACGGAGGAAGATCCAGATGAAGATCCTGAGGAAATCATCCCTTGTTGTTCGTCAATGAACGAGCTGCTACAGATGAAAGAAAAATTCAAAACCGTTCAAAAAGAATTTGAAGAATTTAAATCAAATAATCGAATAAGCGAAGACTGTAGGCTTTCGTCTTTAAGTACTTCGGTCAATCTCGTCTCAAATCCTGCCACTGCATCGAAACAAGCACAAAGGGAACTACAGACTCAACTCAGAATCAAATTCCTTCGCGATGCGTTCTTCTATTACATGATTGACTTTCATCCCGACGAGCAAATGAAAGCTATTTTAGCCATTCTCGATTACGATGACAAAAGACACGATATTATTATTGAATCGCATAAAATGAAGCGACAAGGGAAGAGGTTTACAGTCAGTGAGGTTTCGAGTCGTTCTTTAACGTTCGTACAAGAACATACGATTTAGAAATAAAGCGGTTTTCGTTTAAGTGGGAAACGATACGGCAAATTCGTGGCCGCACCGCCGTGTAGCCGTGGCGTACCTTGCCGTATAGTGCAGTTTCGTATCACTGTGAAAAGCTCACGGCACGAACACGGTCGTGACACAGCAAGGGATACGCCAGACAAATCATTTTGCACGAGAATTTACTCTCCATCCAATCTAATACCCGGAACACGGCATAAACATGGCGCGGACACGGTCACGTCAAGATCATAGCACTTTTAGACCAATCATATTGCGCGTGAAAAAAATCAGCCAATTAAAATTCTAGAAAGCATCACAGTCACGGCACGGCACGCTTGCGCCACTGAGCTTTTCACAGTCATACAAAAACTGCTCTAAGTACGCGTTGTGATTGGATAAATTACTGGAGGACAATGGAAAACAATTTCAATGTTACGGCATGTGGTACCGTGCACTGGCTGTAAGTCAGTATCGTACGTTTTCCACTCATACGATAACCGCTTTAATTATCATTACTTTAAAAGATATGATTACTTCCAATCAATATTTTATAAAATATTATTTCAAAGCTTTCGATTTCTGGACTGAAATGGTAGCTGATGGTTGTCCATCTTTAAATCCCAAGAAGAAAGATGTACACAAAATAAGATGATGGAAAATGTTAACGAAACGAGCTTAGATACTTTCAAGAACTGCTTTCTATAGCTTATAGCTTAATGCATTTATTTATAGCTTAATGTGATGCCATTGCTGCGGCATTTTGGGAAGATTTTACAAAGGTGTTTTTCTATTATTTAAAAAGAAAATCTTTCGTTATGTCATCCAACATGGAGGCCATGTTATTTCCCTACATTTTCAAAAGAAAGAAAATTAGGCGCATTTGATACATGTACACATGTATTATTATTAGAGTGCGACTACATCAACCAAAGCCACCCAAACGAATTTCAAATCAATTTCCCAACTCACATTTTAACTCTGCATAACAGATGGATTAGTGAATTGTCCACTTCTGATCATACACACATGTATAAAGTAAAATATATGACTTTAAAGAGGAAAGTGTAAAAATTTGTACAGATTTTATTGTATCAAATACTCAATCGTGATTGGCTAATTTGTATGAAAAGTTGTCTGGGTGGCCTTGGTTGGTGTAGTCGCACAGTAATTATTAATTATTATTATTTACCTTTTWAAGTGGAATAACACAAGGCTTTTTGGTTTCCGTGACATGAGATATAATTTTCTTTACGTCAAAAGAAGAAAAAAACTGTAACATAACAGTAGATCAATTTGTATACTAAGACGTTATAAAAATCTAAATATTTCCATTTATAATATTTAATATTGAAAAAGTTCTTAATTATAAATAAAATGAGAAATGATATGAAATGATTTTTACAGCTTTTTTAGAGGTACTTTGATACATGTTAAACTTTTGAACAGTTCAGGATTTATTTGTTAAGTAGTATAAGAATATCTAAAAATGTTTATAAACATCAGTCTCTTGTTTTCCTTCCAAAAAAGGGCATCCATAACTTAATTTCAGATTTTATTATTTCTAGATGTTATTATTACTTCACATTTGCTAATAAATAACTTCATGACTTCATGCCTGAATCCAGCTTTTTCCTTTTTTGCGTGCCCTGCTGGTGTAGAGAGAAGTTTGTCCCACCTAACCAATTTTTTTAAATTTAGGTCTAACCCTTTACATTTTGTTGTTCTTCAAAGATGTGAAACAACTTTAGAAAACCTCCATTTTAAAATTTAAAATGCTCCTAATCTGATGAAATCCTTTAGCATAATACAATAACACCACATACAGTACCAGTAAGCAGCAATATATCCTGAGCTTTACGCTGCATACCTGGTTTTCTATATACCTTTCTTTAATCCTTTAGCTGCATCCCAGCTGATAACATTGCTCCTAGGAAGGTTTGAGTGCAATCATAGTGTTGATATCCCAAATCATTGTTCTCATTGCTTCCATCAGCTCTTGAACTTGCTCATTCTTCTTTTTTAAAGTCTATGAACAACAACCACAAATTAAGTTACATTAGCATGTTTTTCATACACTTCCACCTCCATAAGTTTTCTGGTTTTTGGTTTCTGTCAATCAAAACATTACTAAATTTGTTAGTTGTCAAAACAAGGACCGGGGAGCAATCTTAAAGTGAGGTGCTAGGATTGGAAAATATAAGAGACTAGAATTATAAAGGAAAAAAGCATGGGGGCTATAGCTTCTCTCCCTATCCCCTCCACTGTCCTTGYAGAAACATGAGAAAACATACCATCCATGACTGGAGTTGTCTTGAATGTTTTAACAAAGTATTTCTAGCTTTTTTTAGTATTGTAGGGACTGTCATAGCAAAATGTAATGAAAAACATAATAGAGATGTTTGTATTTTGTCTTAAACCCCATGTATTAAACCATTCTGTCTACTTATTCCTTCATGAAAATGAAGCTACAAAACTCTGGGTTATCATTTACCTGTTGTAATGCTTGATGTTCTTTTGCTAATGGATCGTTTTCATTCACCACCTCCATTGCAACACCTTTATCCTGGTCTTTAAATGGAATAAGGTCCTGGGGGGAAATAGCAAATGCAAATTTTTGAAATGCAAAGAGTTTAAAGAGTAAAAAGGACCACTTGCAAAGTTATATGTATTCTGATGCCATGCTAGACAAACAGGAATTAAATACAGCAACAAAATATTGAACTTCTTCAAATTTCTACCCAAGCCCCCTCAGGTTAATTCTCTATACAAAATGCTTTTACCCTAGAAACAAAATGTGGTTCCTTCTGTATATTCTTTTTTTGCCCCATTTTTTTCATTTTCAGGTTGTTTTTCTCCCTTCAAAATATCATTATTTTGGAGGTTACAGGTGGGGGATGTACTAAGCATTTTAATACTCAAATATCCTGACCTCACTCACAAACGTCAGTTTAACAAATCAAAGTCAGAGTTCTATGGGTCTGTACTGTAATTGAACATGAAATGACATCAAAAAATGATCCAAATTCAAGTGATTTCACTGCACATTTTGGATCATTTTTGACGTCATTTCATGTTCGATTATAGTACAGACCCATAGAAAACTGACTTCCATTTGTTTTTACCATGACAAAGTCAAAAAAATTGAATAAAAATACAAGTAAATAGTTTGAAAAAGCTGTTTCATCCACTCCCTCAGTGCGCGCGTGCCAGATGTCATAAGCACAAGCAGGTCTAGCCTCTAATCGACAATGGTTCTAAGCCAATCAACGAGAGAGAAATTTCCAAGTTATGGTAAAACGTCTGAGGTCTCAGGTTTGATTCCTGGACTCAGCAACACATGTGGGTAGAATTTGTTAGTTCTCTCCCTTGATTTGAGGGTTTTTCTCCAGGTTATCTAGGTTTTAAAATGGGTACGATTGAAACACAATTTTTGGGGTTCATGTTGAGTCATAGCCGCCATGTTTGTTGATGATAACAAAGCATTCCTCATTAGCTTCTCTCGTCATACCAACTAACGTGGCAACTGTTTCATTGACATTTATAATAAGGAATTTTAAGTCATGTGGTTGTACCCCAAAAATTGTCTCTCATTATTTTTGGGCTTCCTGTGTACACAAACCTCAAAGCTTTCTCCAGCCGGCACATTTACTCTTCTCTTCGTTTCGTTGTAAAGAATTCTAAGTTTTGCAAAGAGCGCTTTCAATGCGTTAAGATGTTCCTTAATTTCTTTATTTTGAGCTTGGGTTTGTCTCATAGTGACGTCTCCGCTGCCGAGTTTGACACCTTGTAAGCGACGAAACAGCTCCGTAGCTTTGTCAACTATATCTTGGACTGTCCTTTGACCTTGAATAGTAAGAGCAATTTCATTTTCTGCTTGATTTACAGGAGGTTTTGGCTGTGAAGCTTGTTTTTCTTCTTGTCTTTGTGGCTGGTTTGCGACAGAAGGATTTATCCAGCCCTCCATGTTTGAACCTGCGATACTGATGGTCAGCCAAACAACCAACACACAGGTAGCCCAAAATTTGTTTTGTGTGTATACTGGCAGGCTATTGAAAAACTGGGTGTAGTTTGCATTTCAGTGCATCAGTAGCTGACTATTTTAGGGGACATGTTTCCAATATGGCGTATATTTTGTCCACTAGAACCATCCCGCAATGCACTACCATGCTTACTCGACCCAATATTTTTTTCTAAACCTCGAAATGGCTAATAGGGCCCTCAGTCTATAGCCTGCGAAGCAGCCCTTTTGGGAGTGGGGGTTGGAGAGGAGGAGGAAAGGGGGGGTGAGAATCTAGCGAAGGGAGCAGAGGGTTATCTAATCAATCGTTTCATAAAATTATCACAACCACCATAAATTTTATCATTACATCCTAAAACAAAGCAATCGTTTACAAATATGAATTTCGTTTCATCAATGCTATTTTGAGCTTCAGTTCGTTTACTATCATCGTCGTTATCACCTGTTATAATTTGTATTCTTTTATTATTATCATTTGCAGTGGTTTCTTATATTTTCGTTATGAGGGAACTCTGGTTACGAGAATGACAAGGCACTTACCAATATTCTTAGATTGATATCGATGAGGTCTTGCAAATTAAACGGTCCAGGTGTGCAACGCGTGGAGTCCAAATAAGAATATATTTGACTCACGCGTCGCTCCTCAAGCGCATCTTTAAGTTTCTCCTGGCTTTCATCACAGTCAATTTTAAATAAAATTAGTTTATAACGAGAGATATTGGAGAAAAGAGACAGAACTCTTGATCTGTCATGTGTATGGTTCAACACTCATCGTACAATGCTCATTTTTTTCGAGTAGGATTTCATTTCATTTATTTTAATAAGAGTTACAGAGCAATATTTATGTAATCCATGTCATGCTGTCAGTTTTAATTCACTGACTAAAGGTCGTTCCGGTTTCGTTTTAAATTGTCAGGCCGGATGTTTTGGATTACCAAAACCCCGCATTTAATTTATAAATCCAGCTTATTGAAATGAAATAAACTGCCCTAAATATCAAATATATATAAAAAACTTAATTTCGTCTAGCCGACATTAACTTTAAATTAGTGGAAAACATGGACTACAACTGAACACAAACAAATTAAAAAAATAAATAATGAATAAATGGGATTTAACATGCAGTGTCATTAATTCCGCAGAGTGTTTCTTCATCTACTGAATCAGTCTAATTGGATATTGCGGAGGGTGGAAAATCGTAAGACCCGCGGAGAAAATTGTTCAACCCTCGAAGCGCAGGACGACCAACAAACCAAGTCATCTTTTATAATAATATTTTTCCTAGGTATAAGCAATCATGGCGACATCAACTTAGCTCAATACGAAAAATGGCTACTTTTTGGCTAGACGAAAAGCTTTTTTCGTTAGAGGACAGATGAAAAAATTTAGACTTTGATTAATAAAGACGTGCGCGCTATATTAAAAAAAAAAAAAAAAAAGAAAAAAAAAAAAAAGGAAAAAAAAGAAGAAAAAAAAAACGGGTCAAAACGATGTTTCATAGCTGATATACACCTGTTTCAAAACACGTTATCGGTCGGAGATGACGGTTAAAAATCTCAGTGAAATTTGAGACCGTGTAACACGCTAGTAACCAGGAATATGGAGTATGACCTTTGAGTTAGAATTTGGATGATTTGAACGAAAACGATGCATGGGAAGCCATTTTTGTTTTGAAGCATGTCATACCGCGACAAGCCCATACATATGGCTGTGACAAAGTTACTCGGGATGCGTATAATTTCTGAATCATTTAAAAACGGATCTATAAAGGTGAAACAGTGGAGTTCCGTGTCAAATTCTTATATTTAATAACGACAACGAAACAAGAAAAACATCTTGGAGATGGACAATTTGAGATTTTGAGATTTAGGTTGCACGATATTATTTTTTGTAGCAACTCCAGCCCTGCACGCTTTTTTTTTGTGTTTTCTGATGGAAGAGTTTGCGCGATTTTTTTTTTCGTAGGTGAAGTGCTTGCTCCATTTTTGGGGGGGGGGGGGGGGGGGGGGGGGTGTCCCATATATGGACTATAAGGTGATGATCTGCTGAACAGGGTATGGTTTTTCAAGCTTCTTTTTTTTGTGGGGGGGGGGGGGGGGGGGGAGATTTGAGCAGCCCTCTCCCTCCATTATCTAATGATCCGTCCCTAGAGGACTTATCAAAAGCGACGTTTTCATTTTGTGTCCACATAGTTGACTGGGTTGTTCGTTTTTGACATCATGGCAAAAGACAGCACACTAGAAGCTCGTCTCCGTGTAAACACCGCAATAACAGCTCGCCTAAACTTAGGTAGCCTTAGTCCATATATGAATGGATCGATAAGGAACTTCATGTAAAGAGTCGTATCTATGATAACACTAATGATCGATGCTTGGATTTCTTCAGTAGGTGTTTGAGCCTTCCAGTATAGATTCACGTACCAAGTAATGGTTACTGGCAGGACGAAGAAAAGCAAACATGTTGTTAATGAAAGGTTAACGAGGATAAGCTGTTTTTGTGTTCTTCTGTGTTGTTCTAGTACACGATCTTCTGTTTGGGAGTTGCCAGTGTTTCTATTCACGTCTAGAAATGGAATGAGTCGGTTCAAGTGGCGCTTATAAGCGATATAAAGACAAACATAGGTTATGACAACCATTATTTGTACGCCTGTCAAGTGCATATACACATCGAGCTTGTGAAATACGTCTTTATAGGAACGCCTATCAAATTCAAAAACGAGAAAACACACGCATATATCCATATGCCTACAACACAGTATATCGCTCGTTCCCGTGTTATAAACCGTCTTTGTCTGTGTGGGAAGAGAATGGCAATCAGCTGTGCCCACGATAAAAAGAGAATCACAAGAAATGAAACGTTCATTGAAATCCCTGACAAAATCGTCCCAGCTTGTAGCAACAAGTTGTATTTGTCGGCGCTAATTTTATCTTGAGCAACTTTAAAATAAAAGTAAGCGAACAGAGGATCGACCGATATCCCAGTCAAGAAGTCCGCGGCGGCCAGGCCCGCGATGAAAATAGTCAGAGGATGCCTTGATCTATGCCTCAGAGGATCCTTTACCAAAGCAATCAGAAGAATTCCATTAGCAATAGTCGTGAGTACAGATATTACTGATAGATATATTCCTGAGCTGTAACAAATGGTAAGGAAAAAGTTCCAGAGATCCAGAACTTCTTGGTCGTATCCTATTGTCGTGTTTCCTTTGTGTCGGTGCGTCGTTGCGTCGTTGCGTTGTGGGTAAAATTGATTGCGCCTGCTTCACCTGCGCTCACTTCTGACATTCTCAAACTTGTCTTCTTTTGTATTTAAATATGCTTTTTTTCTCTCCTTAGGTCTCAATCTTAAGTTTTTGAAAAAGTTGCAGTACTCAAATCTGTGCAAGAGAAATATTCACCAAAGTACACTTGCGTGCTGTCCAATGTTGTAGTGAGCAGAACCACTTGTGCGGCCGGACTTTAAATAGATAACTGCATGTCTTTCAAGTGATTTCATGAAATTAAACTCCTCTGCAACATAAAATGCTGCTCTCCTGTGAATTTTTAAGAACGAATCATTAGTATTCCGGCTTCGTACATTTGAAAATAAAAAGCTAATGTACCAATATCACTGATTGAAAGGCTATCTGTATCTCTTAATGGTGCATGGAAGAAAATAAAGAGTTCACGATATTGAAACAGATTACCTAACCTGTTCAAACAAGAATAAAGCAAAGACGTCATCAGTTGTCATAGCCATGGAACACTTCCTGTAAATTCATGTTTAAACGCGCTAGAAACCTCTAGTTCAACTAATTGGAATCATTTCAGCTGCGAGTTTTAAAACAATGAGTCAAGCAAGCTTCTGGTATAATATGACATATATAATGAACCCAAAGGGTTTTTAGATTTAAAATATCTATTTTGAGAAAACAAGGGCAACAGATGTGTTGGCAACTGCGCAAACGTCGCTATAATCGTCGAAGTGCATTGCGGTAATAATTCAGAAGCAATTATGTTTTTCCAATCGAGTGAAATCCAATGAGTGAAATTAGAGCATTTCATTTGAATCGAACGTAAGCCGGGCTCTTGAAATTACACAAACATTTTGAATGTCAAAGTATGTCAACATTAATTTGATAAAACAAAGCAAAATTTGTATTTTTTGTAATCAAGCATATGAGATGTTATGAGATGTATTGTTTTAAGACTCGTACTTTGCAATTGGAACTCTGTCAACATGGCAGAGTAGAAAAGACGGCTTTTGAGGTAGCTGGAAGCGTGTATTAATAGTGGCAGGCGAGGGCTGCTAAACAAGATTTATAGTGACGCGGAGTGCAATTGTAAAATGCGTAAGCAATAAACATTTATGTGAAACTGAACTTATTTAACAAATCATATATATACAAAATGTATCTTATAATTAAAATATAAATTAAAACTGACCACAAGTACATTAGTTTTAAATGTTCCGAGTTCTGTTTGATTAAATATCCTGTCAGGCTATAATTCACCAAACACTTTGATTTTGGGATGCACGATAAAAAAAAACTAATAACTTTACTAGTAATTTCTTCTGGAAATTTCTCGATCTTTCTCTCACAGATCGAGTTTTGCATGTATCGAATACGGTCTGTAACAATACTCTGTAACAATACAAAGGAGGGCTGGCCTCAGTCACTATTCAGTTTCGAGAACTAATGATAGTACCCCGATGTTTTTTCAATATTTTCGTCTTTTAATTTCCGACCATCTAATAAATAAACTTGAAGATGTTTTGTGTTTCCAAACTGATGTTTAAACATCTTTGAAACCTTTTATTATATTATGTTTTTTATTAAAGAGAGTTCTACACAAGTTTTATTAAAAAAAGACTAGTGTTTACAAGGCGGCATCACTTTCACCGATCTCCGTTTTTACTTTAACTGAAAAGTTTAATTAACGCTATTTCACTCTTCCTGCAAGAAATTCATTCATCTAATAAAGTTCAGTTCAGGATTATTTGGCTAGTTTGATATGATAACAGGTTAATTGGACGATAATTATAAAAAGAAAAAACTCTTATTGTTTTTTCCACCGCTCCGCCTACTTTCGCTAAGCTACTAGAAATGGGTTACCTGTGTGATTCAATGTATTACGTCCCTCCCCTCCCTGGTTACGAATTTTGCAATCTCGGTTCCAGTCTTTCCTAGACATCCCCGTTTTCCCGCGTAAACATTCAGTTTGTTTGATGCATCGCAGTTCGGATCTAGATTTTACTACTTTCTCCGTTTAGTTGACACGAAGATAAGGTTTTAAAGGAGAATCTAGTGAAAATAGTTTCCATAATGCCTGTACATTTTAATACAGTCGACAATGCTGCCACAAAGCTGCAAAAAGTCAAGGAGTTTATAGATAATGGTATGGGAGCCACGCTAGACGTAGCACTGGATATAGAAGAAAGAAAGGAAGGAAGTGAACAAGTAAAGGAACTTCACGATGCTATGGTACAGTACGCTCAGATGGAGAGAGAAGTAGGCCAGTGGATGGAGGCTTTAGATAAGACTAAAGCTGAGTTTAGTAAGCTGAATAGTTCATCAAAGTAAGGAGTGAAGATGGCACATCAACATTTGATAGATTCAGTGTTCCTGATTATAAACTCATAAGTAATCTTAAAGCGTAAAGGAACAGAAGACTAGATACAACTGACTCGTATCTTGTATACAACGATCTCTTGTTTGGTTACCTAACAATATACAGAAGGGGGTTGGGGTGGGGGNGGGGGGGGGGGGTGGTTGGAGGGATTCCCAGCAATGGACTATCTAGCATCTAATCACGAACGAGGAAAAATAACAAGCAAAGAAATGGGGATTGTCTCCTTGCAATATACTTTTCCTGAATTCTATTGAGTCACCATAAATGGCTCAAACAGGGTCAGGTATCGGAGAATGCTCCAGTAACTGCATAAAATTCTCCACCTTAAGCTATCATTTATAGCTTGGTCCCCAGGACTCTCTGGCAGTTAATGATCTCCCATTATTTTAAAACTTACTTAAAACCTTGCTCAAAGTCAAAGTTTTACTTGATGTGTTCATATATAATTTTACTGTATTTTACAAAATCCAACAGTGATGAGGTCCCAGACATAGAGGCAATCTTTAATGACAAGCTGGCTGCGCTTGAAGCAAAAAATACAAATTCAGATCTAATGGACCACAAGAAAGTTAAGAATTTCCAGTCGCAAATTTGGAAAGTCCATCATGAAGGCCAGCCACTGCCAAGTCAAAGTGATGATGCTGATAAAGTCGCAGAAGATGCTGATTTGATTATGTCTCAGGTAAATACTTCAACCTATACTTTACAACCATGACTCCCTGTGAGAGGCTCTTTTGTGAGATTCACCCCACATGCACCCACCAATATATTCACATTTAACACCACAAAACACTTGGTCACAGGTTGATTTTTACAGAAGGAGGAAAACTTGATTACTGTAGGAAAAGCCCTTGTTGGAAGGGAGAGAATAACATATCAAACAAACTATTCTCACATATAGTTGAGCTGCCTCATTTTTGACGTGACTTGAAGTTGTGAAAGGCCCATTAACCCTCTTCTTCAGTCGTTCCACACAAGGCTTGTAATTTACCTATTATGCATGTACTTATACATATATATATGAAGATAAGTCGGAAATTGTTTTCTATGATTTTGGTTTCCATTTAGCAACTCGAGAAGTAGCACATTTCTTTGCTTAACAATTGTGCTTGAGAAGACACATCAATATGAATATAACTCAAATAACAAATCTTGTTCACAAAAGAATGAAACAAGGTCAGAAATGGGAAACTATTAAACCCAAGCTGAAAGGGTTTATTAGTTTTACAATCATGAGGTGAAGTCAGCAAAGTTGCATAGTAAATAATTGATATTTTGTTTCCTAGGCTACAGAGAGAACCACTTGCCCAATCACTACTGTGGAAATGAAGAAACCTATGCGACATAAAAAGTGTGGCCACAATTATGAAAAGGAAGCAATAATTCAGCATATCAAGAGGGCAGTAAGTAAAGGAAGAGCCAAATGCCCCATTGCAGGATGTGTGCACTTCGTTACAAAGAATGACTTGGAACCCAATACTGAGCTGGAACGTATTATCAGCAGAAAAAACAGAAAGAAGTAATCGAATTGGAACAAAAAACCTTATGTTACCACCAAAGTAATTGAATTGGAACAAAAAACATGTTACAACCAAAGTAATTGAATTGGAACAAAAAACATGTTACAACCAAAGTAATTGAATTGGAATGAAAAATGTTATGTTAGACCAACCCAATACTGAACTGGAACATATTATCAGCAGGAAAAACAGAAAGAAGTAATTAAATTGGAAAGAAAAATGTTATGTTATGAAACCAGAGACTTATCTATGAAAGCTTGGTTATCAGCAGGAATATCAGAGACATGGATTAAAAGAATGTACTGAGTTATGTTTGATAATCAGAAGAATAATGTTATCAGGGTAGAAATCTGCAATGTGAAATACTTTCTTTGTTACGAAAAACAATACAGTATATTATTTATTACTGTGCTCATTTGAAGAACATTTCACAAGTTAAAAAAATGCTGTTTAATGCCAGCAAAATCCCTGGATAATATGTTTAAGTGATTCAAGCCTCGGCTTCTCTGAACGAAAATTATGAAAGAAAAAATAAAGTGTAAGATTTTTGTTTAGTAAATAAAGAAATTGTCTTATAACCTTATGCTCAAGGGATATTATCTTTCCTTTGCCATGCTTGAGCTAAAATGTATATGTCGGGCAAACATCAAAATGATCCCTACTTTTTCATTTGATTTTTTGATTATATTTTGATTTTGAAAACTTTTAAAAAAACCTACATATCTGGTGAAATTGTTTCCAGTTTTGTTTGCACCAGGGAATATTAATGTAATCTTGCTGCTCTGAATGGTTGTCGGGTAGAGGGAAATTTATGACCATCACATGGCACCTCTTGGCCAATGAGAAGAGAGAGAGAGAAAAATAGACTTTAACTCATGCACTTCTGGTATATTAACAATACCACTTAGCACCTCTTAACCTTGGGTAGAATGTTTTTGCATTTCAGACCATGTGTCATTCCCTTAAGTATCTTTCTTTTGTTTAATGGTAGCACATGAGAAGCACACTGAATCTGGATACTGACTCAAACAAATCTATGACACTTGGTCTGAAAAGGGAAAACATGCCAAAGTAAATAGATAAATTTGTTGTTACTATAATTTCCACTGACTCATAAAATGTGACTTTAACTTTTTGAGGTCAAAAATAACCTTCTGAGATCAAAAATACTTTCTTTTCTCTTTGAAAACCCCTCTAGGGGATTTAGATCACGCATGCGTGAGTCATACCTCAAAATAATAATATCGGTCAGCGGTTGTAGGCGAACGCGCAAAAACGAAATTGCAACAAGATTATCACAAAACATAAACAAGAGCAAACGTTATTAGAAAAAACATTGCGTTTTTGTTATTCTTTCATGAATTACAAGTCTTTTTACCATAATCTGGTCGGACACATAGAATTTTTGAATTCCTCGAAAGTGCTTTACACTAATAAGTGCTGAATGTACAGTTTACTGGGGATTTTGAGTCAACAAAACAGCTGAAGTTCGTCGAATCATTAACGCGGAAAATACTTACGTAAAGACTATAAATACTTGATCTTCGTGCTTGATGGATAGAAAGCAATCCAGCGACGGATACACACGTGGAATAGGAAAAAAGGAAAAATACTTAGTTTGCTGAATATGACCGAATAAAGCTGTCAAAGAGTTCGTCATCGGTGCCTGTATTGGTAAAATTTTATAGCCTTCATTCAAGATGTCGTTCATGAGTATAGAGAGTATACCTCCAAACAGTGAAAGTTTTCTACTGGAGAGCTATGTTCCTTGTTTCGTGTGCTATCATCATGGAGGCTCTTCGAATGCTGTGAAGATGAGAAGCTGTTGTACTGGTTTCTTGTGCACTGATTGTCTTCGTTGTCATATCGAGACGAAAATAAGCCAAGCGATTGTAAAAATAACTTGTCCCTTGGAAGAATGCGATACTTTTATACCTGAAGAAGAAATCCAACAACTTGCGAGCGAAGAACTCTTCGAAAAATATAAGAAATTTCAAATCGACATGGAACAAAATCCTAATGTTAAATCATGCCCAAACTGTTCCAAGATTTTTACATTCAGACCGAAAGAAAAATCTGAGATAGAGTTAGACACACAGAACAAAAATGCTCTGGGTAAAAAGAAGCTATCTGACGATAGTAAAGTCATTTGTACAGACTGTCATTTGGTGTGGTGCTTTGAATGTCAGGCTCCGTGGCACTATGGAATCAGCTGTAAAGATTTCTGTAAAGGAGACAAATCGTTAAAAATCTGGGCCAAGAACAAAGGCAACTACTCACGGAATGCAACACGCTGTCCAAAATGCCAGATATTTATTCAAAAATCAGCTGGATGTGACCACATGGTTTGTACAAGGTAAAACTATGGTTGGATATTTTTTTAGTTAATGAAATTTCAAAGCTGTAACTGTTATTACAAAAATAAGCTGCAATTTTGGGAATTTTATGCTCGCAAATGCAGTGCAACACAACATGGAAGACAAAACTTTACTTTCAGGAGAATTTAAATTTATTGTATTACAACTTTTTCCCTCATTGATGCATATGTATAATTTTTCTATTAGTAATAGTAATAAGTACTAATACTAATAATCTTTGTAGTGTTTTGAAAACATGATCTTTCGAAGAATTGATAATTGATGTTTTTTTGGCAGGTGTAATACAGAGTTCTGCTATCGCTGTGGTAGCAGATTTCGCAGCCTTCACTTTTTAGGTGATCATCACGACCCCCTGAGTGTCTTTGGCTGTAAATACAATTACAAACCACACCATCCGGCCCAAAGAGTGATAGTACGTGGTGCTGTGCTGAGTGGAAAGCTCCTTGCCTTGCCTGTCATGGCTGGGTTAGTTGCCAGTGCAGGGTGCCTTGTTCTTGGTGCTGGAGTGGTGGTTATTCCTGGTTATGTGTCATATCGGATGATTAAGAAGAAGAAACAGAAAAGGAAATCTATAGAAGAGTAAATTTACAGAAGCGTACTTAATCTACAGAAGTCAAGTACTTAACTTACAACTTGGTACGCTGAAGCATCACATTAACAAAGGCATCAAAATCCTATGCATCAGTGTGAACAGAAACTATGATACAGTATGAAGAGATATAATATATGCCTGTAGTTGACAGTTATACAACATAAAGAAATTCCTATATTTCTAGGTCATAGTCTAGCTTCATTGCTTTTTTTTCTAATCACTCTGATGACATCATTGAATAAATATGACTAAACAAATCCTTATCACTCTAACAGGAAAAAAAAAGAATGCTTGTGCAAACCAGAAAATGGTTTAAAAAATGCATAAAAGTTTTAACTGGACATAGTTTTCATTAAACACAATAAATGAAAAAAAAAGCTTGGATCCTATACTGTGGGTCATGCTGTTGCCTGACTTTTTTCATGTACTATATTAATTATAAATTATAAGTTAATAACAATGTACAGTGTTTTGTTCTGAAAATATATCATATTGGGAATTAGTCATTGATTCAGAGATGTAAACATTACATAAGATAGTTATTGTTTAATAAAAACATGCTTGCTGATGCATCAATATTTTATGCTAATTTAAACCTTTAAAGAGTAGCATAGTACTTTAGACATGCAAAATTAAAAATAGTTTTTAATCTTTTCCCTCCATTCTTTCGTTCTTTTTCCTCCATTCTATCATTCTTTTCACCCATCATCCAGGCATCCTTTCTGCATTCATTCCTTCCATTTTTTCCCCCATCATTTATTCCTTTCATTTTTTCTTTCATTTATCCTTTTTCTCTTCCCTTTTTTCTCCATTCCTTCCATCCCCCTTCCCTCTTCCCTTCCTTTGTTCTCTCCTTTCTTCTAAACAGTATTACTGAATTGCCTCCTTCCTTCTTTTTTGAACCAGTTACCTATGAATGTCAATCATTCTTGAAAGATAAGTTAAACCAATATTATTAATGAGTTGTGCAGCAGAGGTACTGTAAATTGATAGGTGATTAATTCAAATCAATAACTGTAAACAGTCAAAAGTTGCAAGAAATGACAATGTGAACAGAAAAGCCCTTTATTTTTTCTAGCTAATAAATGTACATTATTTGATTATGATTTTATAACATCTTAATAAGTTTTCTTGTTTAAAGAAGTTATTACTGTGCAGATACTCATGAACACTTCAAGGTGTTTTAACAATTTTGGAATCATCCAATCAGAAGACAGATTCTTACAGAGGTTGCTGCATTTTTATGTGCGATTCCAGAGTCTCTTGAGTTGTTGTTGCTGTTAAAGTTTCATTAATTTTTATAAACAGCTACTTCATCAATGAACAATATATTTTTTTTATTTCTGTAAATTATTGAAAGTTTGCACTTGGTGCCACAGTTTTGCATACTACCACGCATTAATACGTGATGTAGCAGTTTGTAAGTTCACATGGAGTGAGCTAAAACTATAACATTTAAAGATTTCTCCCCATTTCTTTGTGATTGGATGGTGCCTAAAAATGCTTGATTCCTTTGTTTCTACAGAGAGCTGTGATTGGATAATCCTTGAAGTGTTCATGGTTCAAGTGTCCGCACTGTTAGCATGCAAAGCATTCAGGATTTCAATTTTAAAATATATAAATAATCGTTTAACAATATGAAGCTATTAAAATTCATATTCTGAATGTTAATTACATTCAGATATTGCCCTTACTAGAGGTGTGGTGCAGTAGCATTAATTTTCAGTCACATCAAACAGTTACATCAATCAGTCCTTCTCAGGACCACATCCACCCAGATGATCATAATACTTCGATTAACAAGCATTAATTGAATCACACTTACATGTCATATAGTTGAATAAGATCCCCTCACAATCACTTGGGCACTCACTGCCTATTGTGTGAAAGTTAGTGGGTTCAAACCTTAGCTGAGCCAACACACAAGGTCTTTGAAAAATCATATTGGACCAATACTCAGGGTCTTAAAAAATAACTGAGGAGAAGGTGCTGCCTTTATAATAATATGTATCTGCAAAGGTTAGACCTTCAAGTCTTCTTGCATAAGGACTTTAAACCATAGGCCCTGTCTCCCAACCCTTCCTAATTACCTGCAGTAAAATGGGGGACATAAAAGAACCTGTTGAATTATTCATGTAAGAGTAGGGGGTTGTCTCCCGGTTCAACAGCCTATTTTTGTCTGGTGCATAACACTAATGTGCTAACAAATCACTCATGATTGTAAGCTGCACAGCTGCTACTAGCGCCTAAATACGCAGCCAGTAAAGTCCTCCACTGGTCATAAAATAATGTAAAGAGCATTGAGACGTTGTATATAAGAACCTCCCATTATTAAAAATAGCTGAGTCCATGATGCAGCCTTCGTTCTAAAAAATATCCGGTTATTTCTTGAGTGGCTCAGATGACCAGACATAAAATGGCGGTCCTGTGTCATGACATTAGGTATTAAACATAGAGGGCTGCAAGTTTATCAGTGCTAAGTTGTGACTGTCATTTGTCACCCCCTCTTATGTTTACTTTATAATTATTAAATAAAGTTAAAATGAAATTGAAATTAGGATAGAAAACTGAGTTTTCTGACAAGATTTAATTTAGATTTAGAGAGAATAGTTTCCCAGCATGTCAGCAGTGCACAGTGCACATGGAATATATAATGAAGAGTCTTTGTAATTTTTCATTCACTGGTGTCTTTGTCGATATGACTCCTTGTCAACTACGACTGTTCCAGAGATGATATCGTAGATGGTTCGATTATGTTTGAAGAAGAAGATCGTTAAGAAAACGGGAAAGAGAAAAGTCATAGAGAAGTTCTTGACGAGTGCCCTCAGAGATGCTCTGTAGAGGAATAATTTTGTTTCCAATGAATCAATAAATTCAACCAAAAGATGTCACTAAAATTATAAACATTCTATGTCAAAATTAAAACTTTAATATTTATATTGAGCATATTTCATAGCATAATATTGCTCACATGCATACTAAAGTATTTTTTAAAGTAAAATAAATATTTATGTAAATATTAGATAAATTCATATAATTTAGATAGCTAAATAGAGGAGTTTTAATCAAGGTTTTACAATACTAATAAAGGTTTCCATTTACAAACCCTCTATCCTCTACATATAACACACTTTTGAAGGCTTGAAAATCTGGTTTGGTTGAATGAAACAATATGTTCAAATTTGTCGGCACTAAATATTTAATAATTATAGTAAATGGTTTAGGAATTAGAGTAACCTTACCTCCACCATCCTGGATTCATGCCAGGCACCACTCTCACTTTTTCTCCTCTATCGTCAATGTCAATCAATTCCACTGTCTCTGCCGATAACACCAATATTCCCACAAAATATTTACCAGGAGTTGCTCCACCCAAAATCCCATAAAAACCACCAACTATGAAGAGAGTCTGCAAACCAAATAAAACGAAAAGTGAAAATGAGATGTTTCCACATCGATCTACTACAAGGTAATTCATAATATTTATTAAACTCTTAATGTTTTGGCATCACTGATGAATGGTGCTATGTAATAAAAAACCTACCCTAGTAATTATATAATTACATAATATATTATAAAATAAAATAAATTATATTTTTTACATGATTGCTCATGACTGGCCAATTCTGTGCCACTGCGATAATGTCTCAAGCAAAACAAATTTAGCAATCAATACTACCAAAATCACTCAACTGTTAGCACTGCCAAAATAACAATTTGAATTTCTGTTATAAGTCAAACAACCATGAGAGCTAAAAATGGTCATATATTATTAGTTTCCAGCTCTGTCCTGATCATGGAGATCTATCAGAGGGAGAAATTCATATCAAATGGTCATTTGACTTAATCAAAACTCAAAACATGATCAATCATTATTATGGAGGTGCTGATTGGGCTGAGTGATTTTGCTAGTATCAGAAATAAAGTGTCAGAGTGCTAGCATAGTGAAAAACTGACCTCATAAGCAAACACCATGAATCTGTAAACAAGAGCTTGAATAAGAAGCTCCTCTAGGTCCTTTAGACTTGTATTTTCATCCACAATGAGTGAATATTGTAGTTGAGAATATTTTTCTATGTCATTGCTATAAAATAAAAAGATGAATGAAAATAGCTTTATTAACTGAAAGAATATTAATTGTGTACATTACAGGCCCATTGGTAGGGCCTTGTAAGAGGAGCTTCGTTTTTCTTCCAATCTTAGTTATGCCATTTCTTGATAAACATTTTATTGCGTTATTGGATCTTAGAGGGGGTTCATTCGAACCATCCAACCACCCCTAGCAACGGGCCTTAAATGGTCAACACTCAGTCACCTGACATCTGTCAATCATTGACCAGTCATTGGTTGTTCCAATAGAGCATGAGTAGCTAATTTATGCAACCCTAACCTGCAGAGCAGGCGTTCTTTTGATGGGTTTGAGGAAGAATCTGGGTTTTGGGGTTCCTGTTTCGAGCAAGGGCCGTGAGAAAAATGGGACCTAGCAAAAAAATAATTCTCGCTCGTTCCAAATTTCCCCCAAAACCCCGGTTTTTCCCCAAACCCACAAGAGCGCCTGCTTTGCAGACTAATGCAACCCGGGATCAATAACTGGGTTCGCTGTTATATGCGATTAGAATTTCTAGTTCGTCCTCTCCTCTTCAAGGGTTTTATTTTACTCTGGGTTTTCCAGTTTTCCTCCCAAAATCAAAAATCAACTTCTAAATTCCAATTTGATCATGGAGTGAACAGGGTTTGGCCAAAAGTTATCTTACATATTCACTTCTCATTTAATACACTTACTAAAATATCGAGAACATTAAAAACTTGGTTAAATACAGAAAGAAAAAATCAACAACTTCTGCAAGTATCCTCTTCTGTAGTGTACTAACTCTTGCTTCACACCCTACAAAGCATAAATTTTAAACACCATGTATGAATTTTGTTAAGAATTATTTATTACTTTTATAACACTCAATGAATCGAAATTTCGGCGAAATTTGTATTTGTGATTTAGAGTACTCCCTCAATATTAGTAAAAGTTCTTATTTCAAAGTCCCCAAATAAGAGATCATGGTTACTGTAACTATGATCTCTTTTCTAGGGACATTGTAAGAATCAATTTTCAATGGTGATAGGATTTTAAAGGACAAGAATGATGCATTTTTACCTTCTATTCTAACTTGTTGAAATTGCCCGAAGCGTTCTGCATGAACTCTGTACTGTTCCGAATTCCCAGGAACATGATTCCCCGTCGAACTAGTGACCTGAGTAGGACTTTGTGAAGCCAAGGTTTGCCAATAATGGTACATGTACAAATAACAAGAAGCATAATAATACTGACAGTAAGACTGCATATAATACCACGAAGACAGCGAATATAGAGAGTTATTCAGTAGATTAGGATTACGTGCGGTAGTATCATTTACATAGGGATTAGATTGTGTGCTTTGAGTGGTTGTGCTGGTCATATTTGGGCTGACTGATGGTTTGTTGTCGTTCGGTTCTTTTTCTTTATGGTCCGCCATCTTGGATAACCATCGCTTGTCCCCAGTTTTCCTGTCTAATATCACAACGCGTATAGCATCATGGTTAATCCAATTTCACAGGAAGCCCAAGTGTCTACGTGTTTGGTACTCATCTGATATGGTGGCGGTACAATGAATTTCTTGAGGGGAGGGGTAAGAAAAGAACGGAAAGGTGTGACTGTTAACGGTGCCAAAAACATTCCAGATAGACTTGCGGCAAATTGTAGTAATGTGGATCTACGAGGCGTAGCTAGCCGAGGGCCAAATTTATCGTCAATAAAAGGACATACATAAAAAACTGAGTTTTTTTAGCGGGTACTAACGATTAAACTGTAATAGCCGGGGGCTAGACAAGACAGTTAGCTTTCTTCTTCTTTATAATTAATAAGTCAGGAGAGAATGATAAATGAAAAAATATAGATGTAACAGATAAATAAAAGAGAAAGAGAAATATAAAGAGGGGAGAAAGACGACAGGACGGTCTGAAGCATAAGATTTCAAGAAGGCATGCTGATGATGACTCGGAAAATAAATCAGTTCCGAATCACAAGTGTCATTAATATAACCTTTAGCTCGGGTACCTTATTACCTGACAAATACCCTAAGAGGTACCAAATCGAAGATTTTGAACCCTAAAAGACAAGACGAGCATCCCTGCCCTTTTTTGATTCGACTGCCGCCCCCGGGAATAACAATAGATGGAAAAGTATCTATAGACAGGTTGTAAGAATTCGAGCTTCGATCCCCATCCCACCCAACACCCCAACCCCCCCTTCCCCCCTACTACTAGATTTAGATAACATACGACGTTTGATTTTTCAACTCAGATTATTTGCTTTAATTTTCTGCATTTTCGTGTTTAATTTTCTTAGATATAATATCTTTTCGGCGTTTTCAGCAAACGCGTTATGTCTTTACCAGCGTAAATTTCGACAGGTTTTATTTTTCTTACATTATTTTCGTTCTAACTATATCGTCATTCTAGATAATGTAAGTAGGCTTCTTACGACGGGCTCTACTTAGCTAGAATATAGCCAAAAGCTCGGATAGTTTTGTCACCGTTATCAGGGCTGCATCCCGCGACGTTTCCAGTGGAAACCGAATTATCTGCTCTTCCATTACAGCCCGTCCCCGCGGTCCCAAAGCCAATGCGAGAATCTGGGGAACCACAGTTATTCTCTTGATTGGACAAAATTCCGATCCGCGTACTTGCTTGATTTCCAACGTGGAAATTGAAGCCCTCTTTGTTACAATTTAGCTGCAGAGAAGAGCCTGGGACGAGAGACTTCCACGTGTTACGACCAATCGAGAAACTGCGGTAACGTCCGTCTGCGATCACAGAGTATAGCGAGTCTGCCCTACAAATACATGCGCAAATTCAGACTAGAGAGTGCGACGTCATCGCTAATATTTAGCCTTTAGTATTTTTACATAAGTGAATATAATTGTTAAATATTAGAGTGATCACAGTAAATCCGTGAAACACTAATTACTAAATAGTACAAAATAGTGCTAGTTAAACAATAGAAAACAATGGAATTTGCCCATGAAATTGTGCTATTTAGTATTACTAAAGTTTCACGGATTTACTGTGGTCACTCTATCAAAATGCTGGCAAATGGGAAATAAAGTTAAAAAAATAAATATCAAACTTTGACAATTGATTTTTCCTATGTGTTCTTCATTTACATTGCATGTTCATGCTGAAAAGCTAGAATCCAGAGCCCTTTTACGCCTATATTGGATGTTATTCGGCGTTGCCGGTATAATTTCTTACCTGTATTTCAGGCGAATCCAGTTTGGTTCACTTGTGTTCCCACTGGTTTTCATTCCCAGACAGAGACTATTGAAGGGCATCGTCCAATAGGTAGGTAACTTGGTTTCTTGGTTATCCACACCTGATTGGCCTCCAGGCATGTTATATGTGACTTTGTTCTTCCACAGGGCTGAGGTGTAAGTGAAGGTGGACTAAAATGGTAAAAGTTTTATAAAATAATTATATTAGTTCATGTATGTCATAAAGTGATGTCTCTCTACCTTGTGGCCATCGGTCTTCATGATGGTAGTCCAGCCTCCTCCACCACATCCGGGGATGTAATCCATGTAACAGTACACTTTGGTTATTGTTGCATTAGTCTTGATGTAGTAGACACCACTCTTAGCAAACCTATAAGGAGTAAAACTGAAAGTCATAACAGACCGTGGCACTCAGTAGATGAAATCGTTAACGCATGCGTGTGCTATGGTTGGCTCATTGTTAAATCTGAGAATTTCAGTGCAGTCAATTCAGAATTGAAATTGTGTCAGGCTGTGTTAACATTGTGGTGATCAAGACGAACTTGAAACGAAAGTAAAGGTAACGATAAAAAAGTAAAGGTAAAATACCTATTTCGAATACTCACTACCGAGATATGCATCACTTGTCAACACACACTAAGGTTCACTGCGAGGCTACGTGTAAAATAACAAGCGAAGAATATCTCGGAAGTGGGCTTAACTTTCTTTATATAAGATATTCATGCTCCAGTGAAGGTCCGTGGAATTCCAAAATCAGGCCTTTGCAAGTGTTTAATTTTGCATAAATGTGCATTCTTTATTTAGTTCCCCACTGGCGTTTGTATTTTGATAAGAAAATAAGGCTAACTAGGCCCTAGGTCCTGAGTAAAAGAGAAGGACATATTTGCAAGAACTGATCAAAGGTCTACTATTTTACTAGCCTTTCGTTCTGGAGGATTGCCTTGCATGACGTTGCGGGGTTTCTTCTGCTTCCCAGTCTCGCGCCACAACGACCGCCTTTACACACCAGAAGACCTGAGTTGATGATTACCGGTCCTCCATGTCCTGGTTGTAGAACGATGTGTAGGCCAGACGTGATGTAGACAGTCCCGTTTTTATCGCGCGCGACTGATCGGCTCCTTTAACCCAAAAAATTTTGAACAAGAGTTTCAGTCAAAATGGGCCGATGAGGCAAAAGCTATTGACTATTGAATGGGCTATTGACTCAGGACATATAAAGCGAGAGGACTAATTGTTAGTCAAATCCAACTAGATGTAGATGTTTACAAGATTTGAATTAAAGTTAATGTTTTGGTTTTCAAAGCCGGCACTTTAGGCTGCTAGTAGGCTAGTAGCCTAAAAGTAGCCAATCCAATCAGAATGCAGCAATGATGATTGACCACTAGTTGAATTTGACTCATTCACGTTATGTTTCTCTTCGCAGGCTAATATTTCATATCATTTCACCATAGAAAGGTAATTACAAGTAAGCAATGATAATGACTTTATTTTCTCGAAATTCATCAAAATGATTTTTTAAAGCGCATAAATCCTGGACCACCGTTGCCACTAAAGTTGCATTTATTATCAACCATTATCCATTACTATATTTTACTATATCCGGTGTTGCAGTCCCCGGTTAGTCCCGGGGAACCAAATATATGTGAAAATGGAGTGATATCCCCGCTATGCCCCCAGGTATGCCTCAGCAGGAGGGGAGGGGGGGGGGGGGGGGGGGGGGTGCGCGGGATGTCAATTGACTGGTGCATTAGTTATAGTTTATTCCTTCAATAAGTAGATTGGAGTAAAAAAACTTAAGTAACCCGTTCTGGACTTGGGAGAAAAAACTCTTTAGTGAGGGGTGGTTCGTCTTGATTTCAAGAAGTTGTCAAATGATGGAATACTTATTTTTCTTCTGTTTTCCTTTTTGCTTAACATTCAAAATTTTGTTTATTTTTTAATCTAGAATGAATGTAAAAGTCAAAAAAAAAGTTTGTTCCAGCGTTTTATTATTTTGCGAGCGGTGACGACTTAAATATGGGCAATTTTCAATTGGTAATAAATGCAAATTTATAGCGATAACGGTGGTCCAGGATTTATGCGCTGTTAAAAAATCATTTTGATCTGAATTTCGAGAAAATAAAGTCATTATCATTACTTACTAGTTTGAGGAAAACCTATTATCTGACCCGAAATGCAGTGGGCCGCTTTTATTTACAGAGACTTGCGATTGAGGGGGTAAATACATATAAACACAATATATCTGATTGACTTACTTTCGCACAACAGAGAGTGCTTGTAGCAAAGAAAAAAGCGTCAAAATCAAAAGTATGCCGCTCTTTTCCATCATAGCCTGAATGAGCGAAAGAACGATTGACTGAATAAATCTGATACTAATAAAGGGTATACTTTAAAGATAGTTTACTTATACAAGAACGGGACTGTATGAAATGATACGTACTTTACCTTAATTTTGAAGTTCTCAAGATCACGTTTTTCTAGGTCAGTCTTCCTCTACTGTTGCGTACAACTAACATATGTGGCAAGAGACAAATTTCTAATATTCAAAGGTCGGATCTTGTTTACTCTTCTTAACATGAAAAAACTTGAAACACGGAAAAAAACGTCTGAGCGACTATAACAGCCCAACTTTTAAGTAGTTAAAAATATTCAAGTCAGTGCCTGATCTTAAACGCATCCGAATTACTGAATTGTGACTTCAAGCATGCCCATATAGCTCAAATACTGCTTTCTCTTTCTATGATCAGTGTTTATAAAGGCATGCATGAGAGTTAGGATAAAAATTAGAAATATAATCTTTACTGAACAATGTAGCTTTAGGTGCTTTAGAGAGTCTAACAAAAATGCTGTATTCAAATGCTAAATATATTTAATATGTATTAGTAATAAAAAATAAAAAATACAAAATGTGATAAAATGCTATAAAGCAGAAAGGATTAGATATATATATAATGAACTAAAATTAAAATATTTTTTATACAGGCATAATAGATAAGAAGAATGTTCGTATTATGTTATTTAACGTCACATCGTTGTTTGAAAAAATAAGTTTTAAGTCTTTATGTCATGCGGTAAATTGTTCCATAGCTTTGGGGCAGCGCAAACACAGAGAAAGATCTGTTCCCAAAAGTAGCAGTTCTTGAATAAGGCACCTTAAAAAGATATTGGTGATTTGAATACTCATTCTGCAGGGAAAATGATAAGTTTTAGAAGGGTTAACGTTCATCGAAACCATTAAATAGAAATTCGTTTTCTCCGAAATATATCAAAACATTTGCCGAAAACTCTTTTGTGAGACCAAGATGCTATGTCAACAAGGCAACATGAAATAATCAGCCTTGGCTTTCGTAAAGCCATTTGTCTGGCTAGTATGAAAATCAAATTTATAGATTTTTTACAATAGCACAAGGCATTTTGGGCTAATTCGCATGCAGGTAGACACGGAGCATGCGCAAATGTTTTTCACWCTTGGTCATTGGGTAGGATTGAATATCGTCAATTTCGTCCTCAGAGCAATACTTTATTTCATTATTATTGATTTTTTTTTGCATCATTTGCTTCTGTGCGAAAAGTCTAGAGTTTGTAAGAGGCATGAGTTAAAGAAAGCAAGAAGTAGTTGCTATTAAATTTTATGTTCTTCTTTTACGTCCGGCATTTATGATTTTTTAAATGTTACCATGTAGTTTATAAGTAAATCCAGTTGGTGAATTCACTCTGAACTTCATGTACAGGCAAGCAGGCAAGCAGGCAACGTCACTTCGATTCCCTCTATTATTACTTTACATATCATCTCATCATGACAACAACTTATTTTATTACACCTTACTTCAATCTTGCATYTTAGYGACATCATTTCTACTTTAGATTATTACCCTACATCATTTTATTATACCCAACACCTTACTGATAATTTCTTCCCTGCATGGGTTCATGTTGAACATTGGCCTACTGTGCCAGTATGTAACCATGGGTTGCGATGTTCTTCACCCCATTATCAGCCTCGCATCCTGCGGTATTACCAGAAGATATAGACCCATCAGTGTGACAGTATTCGTCCGGCATAGGAYCAGTTATTCCAAACCCGATCAGAGAGTCTGGAGATCCACARTTATTCTGCTCGTTACTCAGGATACCAATGCGGACGTGTCGTTGGTTTGCAACGTTATTGAAGCCCTCTTTGTTGCAGTATTTCTGCAGAGAAGAGTCTGGGATGAGAGACTTCCACGCGTTACGACCAATCGAGAAACTGCGGTAACGTCCGTCTGCGATCACAGAGTACAGCGAACTTGCCCTAAAAATGTATGCGCTCATTATATTTAGTAAGTTTGGATTTAAAATTTGAAATGAACTTTTGACTTGGTTCTCAATGGGCGAATCCCTTTTAGTCTTTGTCAGAAAACGAAAAATTCTTGAAAAGTGCAAAGAGCGAACTAGATTTTTTGGGTATTATTTTCATTGTTTGGGCATTCAGTCAATTCACGATAACAGGTCAAGAGAATATGAAGTAAGTTACTTAATATTCTCTTGTAACAGTGTATTCACAAGGAACACACGTTTTTAGCAGCAGTAAGGGGGACTCGCGGTGACCCCCCAGAATTACATAGGTATTATCCGTGCTCACGTACGAGCGTCCGCATTGGAAATTACCCGTGTTGCGCGATATGTCCCTTACTGCTGCTGTGTCACGAAGGTTAAAAGATAAGTCTTATATACGATGCATGAATGTAAAGAGTTTGCTTATGATTTCTGTGTAAAGTGTTTGAAACCTAAGTTTGTTACCCCGCCACCAAGAAAGCTTGTTTGTTGTGATAAGAA